TCCGCTCACATTCCGGGAAAGCAACTATGATGTAGGGAGTTCTATCTTCGACTTTGGCCATCATTTCTTCTACAGGGAACTTTTCTGGAAGTTTGTCCATTATTTCTTCCAAACCTTTTCTTTCCTTGACATTCTGCTACCAGCAGCAGAACCAGAATCTCTTGGTTGCATCTCAAATATAGTTTTAAACATGACTTCCGACGTACTAGCCAAAAACTCTATCTCGGCGTTGGGGTGCAAACCGTATAGATAGGGACTCTCGGGTGGTAACCTCTCATCTATATATCGATGGTATCCCTGATAATCAGTATTCAGCGGTGCTTGGAATCCTTGGGCGTATTGCAAGTCTCCTTCGACGAGTTCCGGCTGCATGTAATGTGCCCTCCATACATGATTTCGCCAAAGAGATATCTCAGATCTTCCCAAGGTACCTTCTGATTATTTTCCAAGTAGTTGTAGAGTACACTAACACTGATTGTTAAGTCTCCAACATTGAAAGGGTAGTTTATGATCCACCTCTGCGGTCCAAATTTTCTTCTTTCAGCTACAACTACATGAAAATAGCACTAGGCAAAAAGGATAGCCTTGAACTCCGCTTCTTTGCCGCTCATCTCTAGAGTTTCTTGATTGGAATTATCTAGAGCTTTGAGCAAGCTAGCAAACATGGCCGTAGGAGGTTCATTCGTGATTTTTATAGATGATTCCGAAATTCCCTGCGGTCTCACACATTCTTGTGGATCTGCAGATGGTTCCGCGCTCAAATATAACCTGTAATTAGCATTGCCAGTATCAGCGCACTGCTCCATCTTCTTTTCTAAAGTTGCCAACCATTTTTGCACCAAATGGATATTCTGCAAGATCACCCACCAGCATTTTCCGCTACAATTTCTTGGCCCTGTCCAAGAGATATACTGTGAAAATTACCTTTATCGAACATAAATCCCAATTTCCTTCCTAATTTCTCTACATCTTTCAGAGGATTCACTCCTGGAGATAATATGAAAAATGTTGGTGTGGTAGAACTCGTCTCTTCATAGGATTTTTCGAATTCTATACTTCTTCAAACATTTTCATACGTTGAATCGTATGAAAATGAACATGAATGAACATGAATGAAAGAATCACAGATTCTACCCAAGCATCTCAGATCATGAGTATGATTTATTCCCGCAGCTGATAAAATTTGTATGAGAAATTGCGTAACCTGAATAAGTACCTACTAAATATTTGATATTATCATTCCAACAAAGACACCGTTCAAATATAATATATTTAAATATGTCTACGTGACTATTTTCATCATTGAATTACTCATCATTCGCGAATAGAAATATTCAAGTGATTAGAACGATTGGATTATCGAATTAAAAGCTTATCTCAAAAAGAGAATCATGATAATGTATAATTTCCATAGAATGTCAATTATGTTTGTTCAATTATTTCCATTGTGATCGACCGTAACTCAGTTTTTTTCTTGCTGCTTAGTTTTTCTTGATACTATTTCAATGAAATTCTTATTTCTCCTATTTTTTTTTTATTTTGTGTCTGGATAGTATAAACGTATTGGAAAATCATCTGAACTATTAAGAAAAATGTCATAATCAAAATTTATCGTACTTATGTGATCACCATCGAAAATAAAGATATTTTCAATAATGATAAATATACCTGTCACTGGAAGATAGCAAAAAAAATAGATACATTATGAAATGATACAAGATGCAAGTAATTGATAAAGGTGTCGTTTATTATTTACATTTCGTTGATTGAGAGATTGAAGATGCAACAAATAGCAGATTGAAATCACCTGAACTGACAATAAACGGGGAAGAGAATCAACAGCGATGAAGCAAAAGAAGTATAAATTGTGGTGATAATGAATATTTTAATTTCTGAGTCCACAATACCTGTTTCGACTTTAGAAAACGACAAAATATTTCACCCAACATTACGTCCAATAAGTATTTTACGAGCATTCTCAAAAATTTTTGAAAAAATAATAACACAACAAATCAAAGTATATTTGGATACAGCTAACATACTTCCAGAAGTGCAACCTGGATTCCGGCTGAAACACGGTACCAACACTGCTCTGTTGAAGGTTATCAATGATGTCTCGGGACAAATCGATGGTCTCATTTTTGGTTATGCTTGATCAAAGCAAAGCATTCGATCTGGTAAACTTCAAACTATTGCTGAGTAAACTAAAATACATTGGGTTTGAATGCAGTTCTTTAGATTGGGTGAGAAGCTATCTCTCAAGAAGAGCTCAACGGGTTATACTGGATAATGATCAATTATGCTCATCTCTTCAGGAAACTTCTTCTGGTGTACCATAAAGTAGCATTCTAGGTCGATTAATGTTCTCTATTTTCATTTTTGACTTTCCTGCCACATTATCCCAGTGCGACGTTCATTTATATGCTGATGATTTTCAATTATATCTGTTTGGTCAATCTAATAATGTTTACCATGCTATCACCAGGATGAACTTAGATTTAGAAAATACACTTCTATTTTCCAAAAATCATGGCCTTCGAATAAATCCAAATGAAACAGTAGCCCTATGTTTGGGATCTGACCTACAAAGAAATGAAGTTGAAACAAATTTCCATCTTTTTCTTGACAATGAACCGATTGACTGGGTGAATTCAGTAAAAAAATTAGGTGTATATATCGATAACACTCTCTCGTTCAACGAGCACGTTAAACACATTTACAGAACTTGCTTTTTTAAACTGAAGTCCTTATACAAGTTCAAGTTCCAGCTTTCTCAAGAAACAAAACTGAAATTAGTTCAATCATTGATTTATCCCCATATTGAGTATTGCTGCTCAGTGTATTACAACTTTTCGCCAGACTATAATAAACAGAAACTTCAACGCATACAAAATGCTTGTATGAGATTTGTGTGCTGCTTAAACTACCGTGATCATGTAACTCCATATTTATTGAAATTAGATCAGCTGAATATTGAGTTTAGAATTCGTTATCTCATATCTGTATTCTTATATAAACTATTGGAAAGCAAAACTCCTAATTACTTGTTCAGATTAATTAGTAAGCGATCTGATAATCATTCTATCAATTTAGGAAAAGATACATTCACCATTCCATATCATGTTACCACCAAATTTGAGGGATGTTTTTCTTACTTTGGACCGAAGTATCTAAATAATTTATTGCCGTATATTCATTTGTCTATATATCAATTCGAAAAAACTTTGGAAATTCATTTTTTAGATGTTCAAAAATGATTGTTATCTTCTATATTATCTCCATAATAGTTTTTTTTATATTATTTTTGTGTCTATTGTAACTGTTACTTATAGTCTTACTGTATGCTTTTTTTTCTCTTAATTATGGGACGGGTGGAAGATAGCCTCTGGCTAACCCTAACCCTAAGTGCTAAAGGGCAATAGCAAATTTTAAACAGTTCAGAAAATTAGTTGAAGGAGTTCTTCTCAAAAAGCCCACTATGACTTAAAGGAATATAATGACGATGTATTTTAAGTCTTGGTATTTCAGATGCCGTGATGATTTATTTATTCATTATCTGTAATAGTTTATATATTGTTTCATTCATGTGTATTCGTATATGTACATTTTTCAACCCTATAATGATTGTTCACTGTATATCATAATTTAATTTTTTTTTTAATTTTAACAGTGTTGACTTCTTAAAGTTTCACCAGCTTTGTCAATAAGGATTTCTTGGACGATAAAGCATGATTACTGCAATGCAGATGCTAAATGAAGCATAGCCTCATTGATTTCTATCTCTGCGCAGCATTGTCTTCAAATCAATGCTAGTAAAAGTTCAGTTTTAGTCTTTGGGGCTAAGAGAGAACTGAACGGTTTTCAATTAACTGTAGACAAGGATGTGGTTGCACCGACTGAACATGCAAAAAATTTAGGTATCATCCTTGATTCAAACTTGAAATTCAAACATCACATCAATAAATGCATCAGTATTGCCTATATGAACATCAAACAAATTTATACCAACAGACAATGTCTCAACAAAAAAGTTAAAACCATACTCTGTGAATCTCTTGTATAATCCAGATTTAATTTTGGATGCACAGTCATTGATTATGAAGATAATCAAAACAATTGTCTACGTCTAATAAACGGTATCAAACGTGGCCAACATATATCACATAAACTCAAAGATACCAACTGGCTCAATATGGCAAAACGGCAATCATTACATGCTGCTTGTCTATATCATAAAATATTATCACTGAAAAAGCTCCCAAATATTTATACAAGAAATTGTCATATCGTTCAGATGTTCACAATATCAACATTCGTTACAGGGGAAGACTAACACCCCCTATACACCGTACAGAATTATTTAAAAAATATTTTTCGTACCAGGTCGCACGAGTGTACAACTCAATCTCTGATGAATTTAAACTGATGTCTTTGAAAAAATTCAAAAGAGCATTGAAACGGAAATATTTGAACGAAATTTAATGTACAACCATTGTCAATAAGAATGGTAGTTTGTAACATCATTACCTTCTTTTTTCTAGCCGTTTATAATTATGTCTAATATACTATTGTGTCAATTATATATTTAGTACTTTCACTCAACAATTTGTAATTAGTTTTGAATATTTTTTCTGCCGATTTTTTTCCGTTTTTTTTGCATTATATATGTGTATGTGTGTATATGTGTACATATATGTGTATATATATTGTGTATACATGTGTTTACATGTATATATAGTTCTTTTTTTGTCTAAGATGAAAAACAGAGGTTGCACCTTTTGATGCAACCAACTGATCTTCAGCCTTTCCCGTTTCAGTAAATGTTCACATTGATTTATTGTATCATTATGGGAATGAAGACCTATTATTATTATTATTATTATATTATTCTATTATATTATTACTGATCTGTTCGCCGTTGAATACTCCTGATTGCTTTACGCTATAACCAACATTATTCCTCACAAGAAATGCGATAACCTTTGGGAAAGAATGATAGATATTTTCAACAACTCTAATATATTTTCGCAAAAAACAAATGTAATACCTATAAAATCATAGTCGTAATATACACCTTGTCGTCCTGAATCGAATATTCAAAAAACAAGTTCCAGCGTCTACTTGTAAAACTTCTCACAAGTTCCTCATTCTTCGTAAGGAGCAGATTGATACCTCTTCAACAACTTGTTCTGTCGATGTTTCAACTCCGCCATCAGGTCCCTGTTGTCATATAAACTCTCAGACCTCACCAAATCTCTGAAAGTTGGTTTCGGTACCACCGATCCTCTTCCTGGGAAATTTTCGTTTTCATATTGGCCACCGAATACCGGATAATGCCCTGCCAGAACACCGAAGTCTAGATTCTGGAATGGAAACTTTGTAGCAGAACTTCTAGGAACTCCATTGATTTCTATTTTTGGGCTACGAGGTTTGTTGTATAAATCGTTCTGTGGCAGAATCTCATTTCTGGAGAAGAATTTACTGGTAGGACTATTATTTGTGCTATGGGAATTACTTCTAGAAACTTGTTTTGATCCATTATTCTCCCGATGCACCTGAGCAATACTGATATTTTGGTAATAGTTTTCAGTTCTGTTAGAAGAAGGTTGAGAGAAGTATCCTGAGTCTCTAGGAGTCAGAGAAGATACTTTGTTTAGATAGCTGCTGTTTTCGAATCTGAAACAAAAAATTCAATCAATCACAAGAGACTATGGTGGAAGAAAAGTATTTTGTGGATGGTTACTCAGATAACATCGTGGGGATAATGAAATCTGTAATAAACGTTCATTGTGTGATAAGAATAGATTCACAAATAAAGGATGGTTCAACAGAAATATTCATCATCACTGGCGACGAGAAAATTCCTTCCTACAAAGGGCTACAAATTCCCAAGAGAGATTTGAAGTTGATGTTTGTCTTGGTGGTCCCCACTTCTTTGAGGCATTTTTGATGAAGGAATTATATTTGAAAATCTTGTCGAAAACTCTAGTCGAGTTGTTCGAAGATTTGTCTTTGAATATTCTGAGAAAATATGAGTATTTCCAACATAATGAAGCTCCGCCACTTCGTAGACTATTTGCGGAAATTTTCCCAATATCAGGACGATGGGTGGGAAACAATAGTCCTTGTAATATCTAGCAAAAGTATGTTAGTATACAGGGTGTAACTAAATAAGTGTAAACCATTTGAGGAGGTGATTCTTCATCGTAAAAAGATAGGATCTTTCATATAAAGAAATTTCATTGGAGCATCCCTTGTTAAGATACAGCCCCTCAAAGGGGGGACATAAAATTTGTATAACAATTTTTTTCACAAGCACTAAAAAAGTTACAATATTGAAATTAACCTGACGTTTTGTACTACCAAAAAGACACTTAGCCAGAAATTTATTTGGTTTACCACATGGTTGTAAGGGGTGGAAAACGCAACCCCTAAAATTTATTTCCAATGTAACTTTTCGTCATATTATTTGTTCAACATTTGAAAATTCATTTTCGATAGCCTGTTTCATTCTAAACAAAAATGTCTCTTGGGTTTTTTGCCCAAAATAAACCAGTTCGCAGCAAAACATTATTTTTGGAACAACTACAGAGATACATCGTCATAAATGCGAAAATACGAAACTAATCTATCTAGTAGGTCGCTATTAGCGATAGTGACAATGCCATTGGTATGACGCTGTCAGTTTGTGAATTTTCGAAATTGAATTAATACTAATTGTGTGTTGTTGTTCTGTTCTTAATTTGNAACAAGGGATGCTTCAATGAAAGATCCTATCTTTTTTTCGATGAGAAATCACCTCCTTGAATGTTTTACACTTATTCAGTTACACCCTGTATATGCTAGCTTCGGAAACAGATAGATCTCTTCCGATTCATAATTTTAAACGCCGGTCCTGTGTCTCATACAATGTGACATTTCGGCGAGACCGTGAGAGTGTTTATAAAAAAATGCATCTACTTGTTCCTTGGTTAGACACACCGTCTTGAAAAATACTTCAACCGACCACATCAGTTTTTGAACCACTTGCTGAGGCAGTGTGGTATTTTATTCTGTTTTGGAAAATAGGGTTTTCCTGGGTTAAATCTTAAGAGAGTTTAAATACTTGAAAGCAGACGGTTGGCGCGATTTTAGATAGTCGTTTATGCTGACGTAGGAATGAAGAAGTCTGTAAAGCTCGAGCGGAAATTGAGCAGTGTAGTGTGAAAATTAATATCGATGAGAATACTGTACGTCGATACCGAGTATACAAATGTTATAATTGTGGTTTCAATACGATATTTTTGGATGACCTAGAGGGTCAAGCTGAAAAAGGCAACGGTGAGTTAAATATATATGTGGAATAACCATGTTTTGGTTATGGGAAGGAGTTAGCCACAAATCAGTATACAGAGTGAATCGCATGATTGAATCGTACTTAGGTAGCGGTCAGAAATTATTGGCCAAGCTAGAGTTTTACAGTCACTCTCGTATATGATACTAATTTACGGCGAAGGTACCAAATTTGAGTTTCATTTTAAATTTTGTTATTGTTAACATTCTTTTTGTGGTGTTTTTCTCCGTCTATTCAGTTGTATCATTCTTCTTTATTTTCTCCATTATTGAATAGTATCTTTCAAAGTTTGAAGCTGGCTTTTATTTCGAAATCTGGGAGAGTAATCTTTTAGAAAGAAGTGCTTGCAAATTCTGAAAATCTTTCTCACTGCAACTAAATACCTTCTCTTCGTGCGGGAGGCCCAATTCAAGCCTTTTTCGGAATTGTCTTAGTATTCAAAAGTTGATGTAAGAAAATCCGCATCTGGTGACAGCAGTTGCCAAATTAATTTGAATGAAACCAACACGCCAATAGCACGAAGAGTTCAAAGAGTGACAAATAAATAATAATAAGTCTAATTGTTTCACTGGTGGGTCCAGCTAAAGTCCACGTTATTACAGTGGTGACTATGGTGGGATTGTATATATCGTAATTCCCGTATTTGAAAAAAAACAGTCATGAGTAGACCTTATTACATGCTATTAAATAACCACCACGTTCACCTGACCTGATCTTGATACACTACGTCACGGTAATCCAAGAAAACAGTGAGCAAAACTTCGACATTTGATTCAACTTGACGTGCTTTTTTGATCTTGGCTCTCCTGGATTCTCCCATCGAGACCATTACACTTTGGTTTCGATGTTATAACTATATACCTATGATTCGTCACCAACCATGACCCTTTCAAGTAAATCTAGATCGCCGTTGGATCGTCATTCAATAATTTCTGACGTTATTCAACAATTCCGATGCTCATGACACGGTCCAAATTCAGCAAATTTGGAACGTACTTTGCTGCCACACACTTCATGTCCAAAATTCTTGAAAAAAATTGCATGGCAAGGGCCAACCGATTCATCGACATCGCCAACAACTTCTCTAATAGTAATTTGATGATTCTCTATAACAATTTCATTCTTTTTGTCAACAATTTGATCGGTATTGATGTGTAATGGATGAAAAAAAATATTTATTGAACAGAGTATTTGTCTGCCAAAAAAGTATAATCAAAATACTCTTTAGTATGAAGGCCAGCAATATACATTTTCGAGTCATTAAAATTTTCAATAAATCAACCAAGCTACTCTGAAAAGCATCATAGAACACATAAGTATGGAACCAGGTATAGGAATGATTTTTTCTATCCGATACATAAGAAATATCTGTATGAAAGAAGTACAGTTTACAGCGCCATCACATTTTTTAACTCTCTCCCACAGCAGTTTTCTGAAGTCAGTAAAAGAATTTTTATGCAATCTAGAACCTCATACTATAGATGAATATTTTAACAGTACGTCCATTTTAAATTTTATTTCATTAACGCCATACTTATAGGTCGGTCGGTAGCCAATCGGTTCGACTTGGATGCTTTGTTCACCCACTCGAATTGACTGCCGTGTTGGTCGGTTGTTCAAGCCCCAGTATGAACGATCGATTTTCACTTGCTATCGTCCAACCCGTGTTAGGAATCACACGTTAAAAGGTAAGACCTCGTTAGTCCTTAGCTCGCACAAGTTTCGACTTCTGAGGGTTGTCGTTCGTAGGGGTGCGAAAGCTGGTTAACGGAAAAACATATTTTGGCTAAATTGTACTTAATGGGATACTCACGGATTTTCGCGTCTGTCAAATTTTGTATGACGTCATATTTTACATTTTTTAAAGCAATTCACATATTTTTTATTCAACACAACTTTTTCCATATCATCGCACCTTTTTCTATTCCTTTTCAATCACTTATTGCCGAGTTTCTTGAAATTAGAATAAAATTCCATAATTTGTCAGGTACACACATCGACATAACCTTATAGGTTATGTCGATGTGTATGTCGACAAATCACTTTTTATAAATTGCATTAAGTTTCACTATTCGAAAATACGTTCCTTTTAGAATTCGTAGGTCAGTTTAGATGTTGAGAAAACATTGTTTTTACAAAAGTAAATATTCGAAAATACGTTTCCTTTAGAATTCGGAGGTCGGGTTAGATGTTGAAGAAACAGTTTTTTAAAATTCTAAAGTAAGGTTAGACAGAGTTAGGTTAGGTTAGGTTAGGTTGAGCTAGGATGTGACAAATTATGGAATTTCAATCTAATTTCAAGATACTTGGCAATAAGTGAATGAAAAGTGATAGAAAAAAGTGCGATGATATGGAAAAAGATTTGTAGAATTGAAAATATGTGAATTGCAATCGTTTATTGCTTAATAAAAAAAGGTGAAGTATGACATCAAACAAACTTTGACAGGCTATATGTCGAAAACTAATTGGGTCCGACAAAAAATAAAAAGTGTTCTGAATTCCTACCATCACGTAATATCTTCACAGAAAAAATCGCGAAAATCCGTGAGTATCCCATAAAGTAAATTTTTCCCCAGATTTTAAAACATATTTCTTAAAACATATGAGAAGAGTTTTATTCAAATTTTTTATCTTATTATCCTTTGTAATTTTGTTTACTGGCGTATTTCTCCGACAAAATATTTCTTTTACCTCTTATACAAGGTTTACATTACTCTGTGAAAATAAATGAATATCTATCTATCTATCTATTCTCAGAAACATGGCTGAAAGATGACTATTATGCATTTTAGTGTTGATGCTTCCCCAATATTCGTTGCAAATACTTTATCCATTTCTTCTTTGAAGAGACTCAAATTATATAAAACTCTGAACAATCCTAAATGATTTTCCTCGTTTTGAAATGAAACTGAACTTCCATAATATACGTCAATGAAAAATTTATATTTTATGACTCAGACTTAATGTTTTGATTTTTTCAAACTTCTTTGAGGATTTTTTGTAAATCGAACATCACAATGTAACTGTCTACATATCAAAAAATGCGGTAGTCGAAACAGACTTGATGGGATCCCAGTCCATCCCCCGATTTATAACTATAATGATACATACAATGAGTACGGAATATATATATTACTTCACACCGGTTTTACAAATTTTGAGTTGTGTTGATCACTGAGTAGATTTTTTATAAATAATCCAGACATGTTCAGCTTCAGTCCAGAGCTGCTGTTCATTCGCCTATACCAATAAATATTCCACATTCCCTGCAGTTATGTTTCGCTATCTTCGTGAATCTTGTACAGTATGGCACCCACATCAAACAAAATGGACTTAGAGCTAG